CAATACTATCTCATGTTTTATACCCTCCATAAGGCTAGGTAAATCAAGAAGAATTGAATACTATGTATCTTTCCATGTTTAAATTTCCCGCTAATAACTTCCCTCCAAGAAGAAACGTTCGGAAAAATGTCCAATGACTAAATATAAAACGAATGTATCAGGCTTGTATCCGACCAATAAAATTGAACAATGCGTAGAATGGAACGCTCGTAGCTTTCGTTTGTCACGTTGGCTGCGCTGTTTGCGTCATACAGTAAAGCCTAGATCACACAAATGTGACTGTTTTTTATTATATTCAACATTTAGCATTTCGTCAGGCGACATTTATCCTATGAGCCTCTACTATTTACAATGCAATGATTTTAACCTCACCACAGTCACACTGCAGGGCTCTCGGTTGCTTGAAATAAAATGTTTCCATAGGGAATTGAAGAATTAGTTGAAAAATATTTTAATTGCTGTTTATTTGTTTAAAAGTAGCAGTTCTTACTTTTCAAAATTAGGTATGTGGTTAGAATCGTACACGTCCAATTATTGACAACTGAATAACATATTTTAATCAAGCAGACAATAAAACGTGGAATTTCCAAATAAACATTCGATCAAAATTATTATTGGTTTCATTTAATGATTGTGACCACATCTTTACATACCTTTAACGGTTATATTGGCTAACATGCAATTTGTAAAAACTTCTGTTCGCTACTGCTGACCATTGTGAAGTTGTCTCCTAAACTAAAACACATTTACGTTCACAGTTTGTGTTTTGAGAATAGTTGAATTAAATCGGTATTGTGCTCGATTTTACAACGGTAGAATTTGATGTTTATGTGTTTTTCATCATTAGTGATTTATCTTATGCAGTAGGATATCATATTAATTCATGTTCCCAAAAGTGAAGTGTAAAAATTAAACGAGGTTGGTGAAATGATGAAGATGAGTGCGTTTATCGCTATTTAGCGATGTGTGTTTGTTTTAAATTGAATTGATGGTGATTTGATAAAATTCATGGTGTTTCCGATATTGCTAGTGCAGTTTGTAAAAAATATTTCGAATCATAGGGTCCACAAACGAGCTGACGGATTCTATCATGGTCGTAAAACGGTGAGTTTTTTGTCTCTAAACGTGGTGAATCTGCGTGTACACGTTTCTTGCCCTTGTATAACAAATTTATGCGCAAACCTCATAATAATGCTGTATTAAAGCCCTACTATTGTATATTACCTTTGTGAGAAAAGTAAGCACTAACCAAATGCGTAGGTATAGACAGATAGGTACGCAGTACTTTAGCTATCTACGTAGATATTTCTGTTTGTTTACGTCTTTCAGGGTGTTCAAAACGCGTCTGGCGTATTCTGTAACATTTTTTTTATTCCAACTTCTGTTCTACAGGAAAACTCGAATGATTTGGCCGTTGTTTACGTACCCACAATATTTTTTTGTCGCCAATATCGATCAGACAAAAAAACGGTTACCTATTTATTGGTTGCCCCATTGTTCTAAAATTAAAATTATGAAAAAAATATTTGAAAAAAGAACAAAAACTGTTTTTAATTACGTTTTATAATAGGTTCATTATACTGCTTTTTGTTTTGGAATGTCAAATTCGATACATCACATCACAAAGATAATGTTTAATAAAATTATGTGTATTATTATTGTGATTAATTACAAGAAAAACATGATAATAACAAACAATTAGCTATTTACAAAAAAGGTGTATTTCAATATTAGAACCTGTTTACTACATCTATGTCAATAGTAAACAATTGCCTGATTCTATGTGCTTGCAGATAAATTTTATTGGGTAACCCTTATTTTAACACAAAAGTAAGATGCATGTATAACTGTAATTGGAGAATTGTAAACATTTTTAAGTATACTGTGACCTTTTAAGATACTCATGGGTTGTTAACATAAGACAAAATTAAAAACAGCCTTTATTTTCTGATAAAGTTTTCTTCACACTATATGTTTCATATTTATTATACCTTGATTATTATCATTAGCATAAAGATTTATAACATATACTCTTCCAACATATGCCATTAATTTTAATTATATCACTGGTGGCTTAACAGTAATTATGCCACCACCAGTGACATAGTTACTGTTAAATCTGACCTTCAAATACTAAATGGTAGGGATGCGCAATGCATTTTTAACCAACTTTAAAATAAGGAGGAGATTCTCAATTCAACTATGTTTTTTCTTGTATGTATGTTACGCGATACCTCATATTTGTGAACCGATTTTGATAATTCTTTTCTTGTTGGAAAGAGGTTACCTCAGATGTGGTCCCATTTGAATTTGAAGAAAATATTTCACCTCTAAGGCTGGCAAACTAGGGGATTAATGACTTATGAGGTCGGTTTTTAAGTACTCTGTACTGTTTTGTTTTACTATGAAGATCTATTCAAATACGTAGGATCTAGTGATTTCTTTCTATCGGTTCATTCAATGCAATTTTTACGTAAATATATAAAACGTTAAGGTGAATCAAATCATCTAGATCGTATTTACGATTTAAACACACAAGGCTCTTTTTGAACCCCTATTTTATATTGGCCGGCAAGAAAACCAGTTTGGCAGCATCCAAGTACAATAAGTCTACAATATTTGGCTATTTTCACTACTTCTGTGCCACCTGAATGTGTGTCCTCACTCGATAATCTCACTTTGAATGAAAGTCGTAACTGACTGAAGCCAAAAAGGCCATCAAAATTATTTTCTTTACCGAAATTAAATTTGAATTTTTATGAGATTGGTTCAAGAGCATAAAAATCGATCTGTGAATCGATTCAGAGGCGTATGATCCATCACAATCAGAAAAATCTATTCAAAGCAAAAAATTGTGCACCACTATTAAATGGCTGGTGTCCAAAGCATTTAAAAGTTCTATTTAGAGCTGGGCCAAAACTAATACCGGCATGACATTTCACTGTTTGTCTGGCATGTAGGCTATTTTTAACTTAGTTGGTTTGTATTCTGTGTTACTGCAATTGTGGAAATTACTGGTATTCTGTGGAACGTCTAGATTGATACTCATAATGCTTTTATATTCCTGTTAGTAATTACATTGTATGACAGTAGAGTTTAAACTGGAGTTGCAAAAGCATAGTGTATGTCTGAGATATGAAGTATGAGAGTAATTTTCCAGGTTAATTATTCTGTACCTAATTTTGGTGAGAATTTTTATTGTTTAAATATTACAGAATATTATCATGAAGTTTAGTTTAGACTTAATGTTCGAGTGTAGTATCCTGAAATATTCTTTAATATTTCACGATAATATACTCGAAAACCTAAACAATATAAATTGCCACCATAATTAAAGAAAACTAACCTGAAAATTACTCATGAAGTTGTTTAAAATTTAACTCTATCTGATATTGTATTATAAATAAACGCATTAATTTATCGATATTTATGATAAAATAAAAAAAAATTAAATATTCAAATCCAATAAGCTATTCACATTTTCGTATGTTCAGTATGTGCCTTATCTGCCCACTGGCCTTGTTAGACTTGTATTGCCATTGTTGATTGATGCTATTGTGGGAGACTCATGCATTCTATTGTAATTGTATAACATTCTCTTAGCATATAATAATCTTTTTGTTGTTGAATGAATATTTGAAAGTTTGAGGTTGTGTGTAGTAAATTTTGTAAGAGTTGTTATAGAAAAATCGAGTAAACTATCGTTTATGACGATAATGCCAGAGAAAACAAGTAGAATTTAAAAGTAATAATCAATACTTTTGTGTGAAAAGAGCTATTTCATTGAACAATAAAAATAAAACAAAATTTCACGAAATCCTGTATGGGCTTGTTAAGATCAGTTTTCGGATTCTGACCTACAATATTATTAGCATTTTCTTTGATAAAATTGACCCTTCTAAAGTCCCTTGATCTGTCCTTGTACACTTGAGTGGTTTCCTAATAACTCTACACAAAAGGTAGACCTTCAGAGTTCCAAGTCACAAGTGGCCACTTGAACCGCTTCCATTACTGTTTACTTTAAACCTATAAATCATTTAGTGTGTTCTGTTTTTAGATTTTTATTTTTAATGTTAACCTTTGCGAAAGTACGATGCGGTTTATGTGGAGTCCCCTTTTACCCCACGCTCATTAAAGTTTCATCGCATAGGGCTGCCTCAGGCCGCGTTCACGTGCGTTTAAATGTGTCGTGTGGGACTCCGTTACGGGCTTGCCACATGTCGACTTATTTCCTTTAGCCATTAGAATTATCGCTGGCATAAAGTCTGATGTGTGCAATTACAAAAATTATACTCAAACAGCAATTTTTAATTTACCGACTTGCAGATGATAATAAGATTAATTATAAAATTGGAGGAAAATACTTTCAAAATGTTATTTAAAACATCGGACATCGGGTATAAAAAATTTTGTTATTTCAATTATAGGAAATGAAACTAGTTTTTCCGGATTTACATCGCGTATATATTTGTTTTTTCAAACAAACCAACGTTTCGGGCCCTTTACAAGTAAAAAAAAGCTAAGAAAACCTAAGAACTCGATAGTTTAAATCATTTTTTTTGCGAAACCATTGTACGATCATTTAAGTTAAATTTGACACTTTTAACTGTTCACAGTACGGAGAACCAGTTCCCGTATTCTTGATCATTATCAGACCTTTATGATTTATATATAGTGAGTCAAAATATATGGTAATTAAAATATAAAAATTCCCCGGGAATTTCACGAAGTATATATATGTAAAAAGATGCTTCCGTATTTAGATAGCAAATCAGACGAAAATCTGAACTTTAGATATGAGAGCATCCAAATATAATATCCAACCGATAGGATAAATGATCAAAATTTAAAAAAAGTCCAAACCCTCGAGCTACAACGACGGTTTAAAACACATACTAAATCCCGTGTTCGAAAGCGTGCAAAATGATAACCGAATATTCAGGTACATAAAATGTACGTTTTATATTTAGTGATGACTATTCAAGTGCCATGTATAACGAAACGTGATTTAATATGCTGATAAAAACGTACCGATTGACTGCAATGCTGTGGACACAAGAAATGCTACGAGATTTTATTTTACTTTTCTGAGAAAACCAGGTAGTGCAACCCTGTGCACATCCGTTCATTATCGCCATTGCATTCTTTCAATGGGATTCTCAACAGAAGTGCAACTTTGAAATCTTCGCGAAACGAATGTAACGTACTTTCCTTACTCATCATCATCAACCTATGTATACGTCCCAAAAAGCTCGCCTGGAGCTTTTTAAGACAATCCGCCACGGTGACCCAATGCAGGTTGTGGACTTCACACGTATTCCGAGGGTTGTGAACCTTTTTCTACGTGCAGATGTTATCCTTCACTGAAAACCTCATGGTAAATTTCAAATTATATTTCGCACATAAATTCCTAGAAACTAGGTACGAGCTCGGATTTCAACCCACGGCCTCTGCTTGAAAGGCGGTAGGTCAAACCATTAGGTTACCACGCCTGTACTTTCCATACTAACGATTGTTAATGAACACAACAATTATATGAAATGATTGGTATTTTGTTTTTCTGCTGGAAGCAAAATACGTTACAATTTTATTGTGATATTTTTCGCACTATGCAAATAAATTCTTGTAATTATTATTGCGAAGTATCTAATCGTTATTACATGCTAGTAGGTCTTGTAATTATACCAGTGATTAAGTGACGGAGGTGAATAAATGTATCTAATATGACTTATGGTGATGCAAAACAAATATGAATCACTAATTTATCACCCTACCATTTTTGATATACCCCAACAAAAGCAGGTCATGGTAAGCTTTAAAAAGCATAACGTCATAGGGTATTCGTCATATGATATATCGGATGTCGTTTTCCTGCCTGGATTCAGCGAACCTGAGACAAAATCATAAGTTTTACCAATTGTGGCAATTTGATTGATGTTTTGGCATTCCAAAAGATGTTTTTCTTTGTAAAAAGATTCAAAGGACTTGTGCCATAATATCCGCTTGGAACAGTCAGCACCTGCCGTACCCTACGCCCGCACACACCTGCGCGACAGATGGTCAAACGCCATAGTAAACCCTAAATGGCAAACGACGGTTAGGGG